TCATTACTGGAGATTTTAATTTCTCAGAAATCACCTGGACAATAACTTCATTATGTGACGCCGAAAACGCTCATAATTTATTTAAAAGCTTTGTAGTAAATTCGAACCACAACTCATTACAAACCTACTAGATTTAGAAACAATAATCAACCTTTTACTTTAGATCTAGTGTTTATTAATGACGAACAGCTGATTTCATCTCTCGAAGTCAGTTCTCCTATAGGAAAGTCAGATCATGCAGTTATAACAGCTCACATTCAGTTCAATCAAATATTACCCCGCAAAAATAATATTGTAGCATATGTTACTACTGACTTTTCTGAAGTTGACACTAAACTCTCTCAAATCGACTGGCATTTATTTTTTGCAGACTTTAACGACCCCTCATTAATGTGGACTGCATTTCTCGATAAAGTCCACAATATAATTTCTACAAATACTACTTTCCGTAAGAGTTATAAAAACAACCTTAAACCCTGGATAAATCAAACGGTAATTAAAGAAATAAATCACAAACGATATCTATGGCGGAAATTTACGCACACCGGACTTCTTAGTGATTTCCAAGCCACCACAGATTTTCAAATAACTTACAAACATCTCTAAAAACTTTAAGACAAAATTTTGAAGAAGATGTTATTGAAAGTGGTAACATTAAAAAAGTCTACAAATGCATTCGTTCCTTCCTGACGTCTAAAGTTTCCATTCCTCTACTTCAAAAACCCAACCAGACTTTATGCTCTTCTAACAAAGAATCTTCCGAAACTCTCTCTTTAGCATTTTCACAGGTTTTTACTAAAGAATTGAATGATGGCTTTTTACCTCCTATCAACTGTAATCGTGTCGGCGCATCCTTACAGCAAGTTGAATTCATAGTGGATCATGTCAAACAACACTTAATTGAACTTCACACAGCTCAAAGCTTCACCTGGTTTAGATGGTTTAACACCAAAACTGTTAAAAAGGTGCGCAGACACGCTTGCAATACCCTTACCGTTAATTATGCAAACTTCTTTCATCCAGAACTCCTACCCCCCTCGTTGGAAATTAACATCCGTCACCCCTAATTTTAAAAAAGGCAACAAACTCGACCCCAACAATTATCGTCCGATTAGCTTGCTGCCAGTAGTTGCCAAAGTTATGGAAGCCATTATTTCCGAGGATATGAACAAATTCCTTCTCAGGAACATGTTATTCCAACACAACAACATGGATTTGTCTCTGGTCGCTCTACTCTAACCAATCTCCTACATTGTGTTAACGACTGGACGTCATCCCTTAACAGTTCGCAACCGGTCGACGTTGCGCGTTGTTTATCTAGATTTCTCTATAGTCTTTGACCGTGTACCTAAGCGCAGACTTCTACATAAGCTAGAACATTTCGGAGTTCGCGGTACTTTACTTCGTTGGATAGATGATTTCCTGACAGATCGACATTACAAAGTTAAAGTTGGCGAATCTTTCTCACAGGATAGGTTAGTGGAAAGTGGAGTGCCTCAGGGTTCTGTCCTTGGACCTCTGCTTTTTACGGTCTATACCAACGATGTTCCTTATTATATCTCAAGTAAAATATCGTTCTACGCTGACGACACAAAAATATATGACAATCCAATCACAAACCAGCTAACCCTCCAAATTGGACTCTATTTTAACTTATTGTTCCCAGTTGTTACTACCCTTAAACGCGGAAAAATGTGTAGTGCTTCGAATTGGTAAAAATAACTCACTTATGCCGTACTTTGTTAACGGGCAGCCATTAGATTCTGTGTTTTCATATAACGACCTTGGCGTTATCTAACAGCAGCCTAACTTGGTCACCATATTACCTCTATTTGTAAACTTGCGAACACCAGACTGTATCATATTCGGAGGTGTTTTTCGACCCATACTTAAATATGCTGGACCAACGTGGTATCCTGATTTGGTTCGAGACAAGATTTTGTTGGAAAACGTTCAAAGAAAAGCCATTCGAATTCCTTTGGGACCGAGAAGACCTTTTTATGCAGAAACGGCTAAGTTAACTTCTTTTGAACTTCGCCGACAACGTGGAGACTTAATTACAACATTTAAAATATTAAAGTTCAATTTTGAAAATGTTTCATGAAATGTTTACGATAAATCAAGATGAACGCCTCAGAGGTCTAGAGTTTAAACTAAAGAAAGAAAACTTTTCTACAAGATCAAGACAGAACTGTCTACCAAATAGAGTTTTTGAGTGCTGGAATAACCGTAATGATAACATTGCCTCTGCTCCTTATATCAACTCGTTCAAAAACAGACTTGACCGTTTTATATTACAGTTAAAATATTGTTTTTTTTTTAATCAAAAATTATAATTTTGTTATTTTCTTTTGTAATTTTGTTATTTACTAGTAGGTTATTAATGAAATTTCTTTGTTTTTGGACATAATAGAGACTTGTTCCTCTGTCCTCGTTTATGCATAATAATAATAATAAATAGCGATCTTACATTGTTGATATATTGTGTTTATAAGTGAAAAATGACGTTTATTCTTTTGCTTATTTTGTTTATTCATATTGTTGTCACAAAATTTATCAAAAGCATTATTAAAAACTGATACCTGTATCAATAAGTTTAAAAAAAAGTTATCAAAAAGATCAGTACCTTATATACCTGTATCAAAAGAGTCATGAAAAATGCTTTTTATCCTGGAATGAGGAAAAAGATCTTTGCACAATATATAAAAATATGCAAAAATCAAAAAAATAATGATAAATTATTTATATTATACATCATTTATCATTCTTTTATCGACGTAAACTGCAAATTTTTATATTTTATATAACAAACATCCTAATACAACCTTCAAATTAAGTTTATTCATATTATGTGTCGCTTTCTAGTATTCCACAAGTTGCTGTTGTTAATTGGAATGTGAGTAATTTTTGAATTACCTGTCTTAGTTACTCGACTCTTATCACGTCCATCGATATAAAAACCATTAATACTAATTCGATACTGTTTTTATGCCATTGTTTTTAGTCAATTATGAGAATTTCAATGTTTTTTAATAATATTTTTTTGATTATTTCAAGCTTTTAATAAATTTCAAGCGATTAATAAATCACTAGTATGGAAAATGGCTTGTACAAAACCGAAGAAGACGTAAAGGCTATACAGAAAAAGACGGAGAGGTCAAAAATATGTAGAATGACATTGGAGTTATGTAAAATATTAAGAAAATTGTAAGAAAACTTAAAAGTACTTTGGTGACTCGTTTAGAAAAAACAATGTTGAGTTTGAGTGGGCGAGAGTCAATAAAAGGGCTGTTAGAAGTTTATTTTTTATTATTCGAGCTTTCGAATGTGTATATTCTTTTTCAAGAGCTACAAGAAAAAGTAACTGATAAATTAGATACAAAAATAATTTCCAGATAAATTTAGTTTGGATTAAAAATTGCACTTTTTTGATTCTTTTCATTAAGAGGAATGTGGATAATTTGGTTTTTGCACTTCCCAGAGATAAAATTTATAAAACTATCAACAATTTCAAAAGTCATAATCAACATATCTAATTCACAGTTGAAGAAGAGGTAAGGGGATGCTCTACCATTCCTTAACATGAGAATTGTTAGAACTATAAACAATGTGTTAAAAACCAAATGGTTCAGAAAATCCATGTGTAGTAATATATTTCTACGCTATTACTCACAACATCCTAACAAAATGAAAATGAACCTTATAACAGGATTAAAAGAACGTGTTATCAGACTAACCCATCGAGACTACTACCTATAGGAAGGTCTGTTATTAAAAAATATTTTGACTGAGGTCTCTTATCCTCTACATGTGCTACACAGGATGCTAGTTTTCAACACGATTAATGTGAACAATCTTTTGTGAGATTTCAAAATACTGCTTCTGTTAATCAAAACATATATTATCATCCACTGCCCTACATACCATCATTAACACTTAAGTTAATAAAAATGAATCGAAAAAGTATCGTTCGATCGCGCAAAAGATACTTTCCATAGAGGTATTAATCCGCCAATAACTAGAAGAATTGCTTATAAAGAGGAAGAAGAAGGAAAAGATTATTTCTTTAAATACTTGAATCTTTTACCTATTTCTTTATAATTGATTTTTAGTACCATAAGTACATCACATTGGTTGGTTTCTTTTTTTGTTTTTTTCATATCCTTCTTACATTTTTTTGTGATTTAAATCCTTTTTAAATTATCACGTTGACTGTATATTAAAAATATATCCCACTGTTAGCTACTTCGCTCTGGGATAATTTTTATTGACATTGACGGGGATTTTGCATTACTTTTTCCCTTTCATCAATAGTTATTTATAACGACCTTGGTCAAAATTCAAATCTTTCTGACCATTTTATCACTTTATCGGTTACTTTTTCTTATAGCTCTTGAAAAAGAATGTAAACACATTAGAAAGCTCGAGTAATAAAAAAAATCTTCTAACAGTACCTTCTGTACAAAAAATTATACCAATGTGAAAAGCTACGGAAAAAATATAGCCAACTATACAAGTGAAGATCACTCAGGTTACAGATCACATTTATGAATTAGAACAACTCCTAGAGAAAAACAAACAAGCAAATAACAAGGATATACATATAGCAATCGTGGATTTTTTGTTAAATAATTAACTAATGAATAAAAAAGAGTGCGAAGAGTTTTATGTAGGGAAAACATCAATAATATTAAATGTTAGAATAAATAAACATAAAACTAGATACTTTGTTAGATCTTATATATGCGTGGTACAGTTAACATACTCCAATGAAAACATTGATCGAGAATCTGCAAAGAAAAACACAACGACACTGTTATCACTTTACTAAATGAAGCAAATTGTGTAGCAAATATCTCAGAAAATTGTAGAAAAATGTGTCAGTCAAAGATATTTTGATAAAACACTTTTGGTACAATAAATTCAAAGTATTTTTCTATAGTAAAAATGAAATTTTCCGTCGATAGTGAAAGTAGAAAGATAAAGATCTCGGTACTCACCCTGTAGAGTCAAAACAGCGCCGACTAGAAGAACTTGTAGAGATTTCATGGTGTCTGCTAGACCTCTGACATTAAAATGCCTCCGATCGCGGTAAACCATAAATGAAGATGCGTCTTCGTCGTCCAAGTTGTCCGAGATGTATTAAACCAGTGGCGTAACAAAATAAGGGTTTATTGTTTATGTACAGCTGGTTCCAAAAAACTGATAGGACTCTTAGTAAGATTTGATCATTTTGAGCAGTGTATTTGATTGGTCTGACATTATATTATATTTATTATGACAGACAAATAATAAAATAAACAATCAACAAACAATTGATTGATTTAATTCTTAAATTGTAATAATTATTAAGGTCTAAATTTTGATATTATTTTGAATGTCTGCATTTTATAAAGAGTACATAAATGATAGTTTTTACATAAAATAGGGTTGTTGTTATTATTTTTATCCAGATTTAGCCATACGGCTCACACTCCATCTAAGGGGTAAATTCACTCATCCCAGATACCTACGGTATCAAAAGGATTGAGCTCTGGTGTGAATCTTTTTGTGTTATCGAGCCCTAGGTGACTTGGTATGTTGGAGTATCTCCCAAAAATTTTCGTACACATCTGGACGTCGGGAGGAGTACAGCTTTCTGCATGGCCTTATAAAGATGTTCATTTACACCCAGCTGTTTTATGTATTCTATGAGGTTTTTGGGAATAACACCAGTAGTAGATAGAATAATACGTACTGTCTGGGTACTTTCCATTCTCCTGATCCTCCTCCATTTTCCTCCTCCTCCTCCATTCTCCTCATCCGCCTGATTTGTATTTCTAGATCTCTGTACTTGTCGATCTTTTCGTTGTTTTTAACGTAAATTATTGGTATTGGCTTTCGCCACATCCACTATCATACTAAACACGGCACAAGAAGTTCTTGGAACAAACACTCAACGGAGAGAAGAACAGTGGTTCGATGAAGAATGCAAACAAGCTATTCACGAAAAAAATGAAGCACATAAGAATTTCATACTCAGACGAACTAGAGAGAGAAGGACAGAATTTGAGAATAAAAGACGAAGAGCTGATAAACTATGCAGACAGAAAAAGAGACGGTACGAAAACAACCGGATACTAAACATAGAGAGGGCGTTCAAGGAAAACGAAACACGCAGTGCATACCAACTTATCAAACATTTAAGACAGGGTTACAAACCGAAGACTAGCCTATGCAAAAATAAGAATGGGGAAATAATTAACGATATGGACGAAATTAAGAGAACCTGGATGATGTATTTTAAGGAATTATTAAACGAAAGGGCACAAACACCACTACAACAGCGGCAGCAGCAGGTAGAACAGGAAGGTCAACAACAGGAGCTGTGGGAAGATGGAGAAGATAATGAATTGGCTAGACCTCCAACGCTAGAGGAGGTTCGAACAGCAATCCTAATGCAAAAAAGCCATAAAGCGCCGGGAATAGATAAGATACCGGCAGAACTGTTCAAGCAGGGAGGAACAAATTTGACAGAACAGATGTACCAACTTATACAAGAAATATGGAGAGAAGAAAAAATCCCACAACAATGGAAGAAAAGTATAATCTGTCCTATTCATAAAAAAGGAGACAAACTGATAAGCCAGAATTATAGAGGCATCTCTTTACTTTGTTCGGGATACAAAATACTCACAAACATTCTTAATCGAAGACTTCAACCCCTCACTGAAAAAATTATCGGGGAATATCAAGCAGGGTTCAGGCAAAATAGATCTACTATTGGCCAACTATTTACAGTTAAACAAATACTAGCCAAAGCATGGGAATATGACATAGACGTCTACAATCTCTTTGTAGATTTCAAGCAAGCCTATGATTCAATAGATAGAACAATACTACCTAATATATTACAAGAATTTGGCATACCATCAAAATTAATAAGACTAGTTCAAATGACAATGACAGAAACAGAAGCACATGTATGTATCCAAGGACAGATGACTGATGCGTTTATGACAACGCAAGGACTGAAACAAGGTGACGGACTGGCTCCAACACTTTTTAATCTTGTTCTTGAATATGTAATTAGACGGTTGACGGTGAGCAGAAATAACATACTTACAAACAAATCTACCCAATTAGCAGCATACGCAGATGACATAAACATAATGAGCAGAACAAAGACTGCGGCAGAAGAAACCTACGTTCAGTTAAAACAGAGTTCAGAAGTTGTAGGGCTAACAATAAATACAAATAAAACAAAACTACTCATACAAACCAGATCAAATAGACAGGCGCAACAACAACAATTTATAGACGATATAGAATACGTGAATAGATTCACGTATTTAGGAATGAATCTGGTCGAAAATAATGAAGAAGAACCGGAAATAAATAGAAGGCTTATGCTGGCAAACAAAGCCTATTTCGCGATGGGCCACATATTCAAATCGCGAGACGTACACCGGAAAACAAAACTCCGGGTATATAAAACAATAATCCGACCAATAGTAAGTTATGGGTGTGAAACATGGGTTATAACACAGAAATCTACCAATGCATTAGACGTGTTCGAAAGAAAAATATTGCGTAGAATACTGGCTCCAATAAAGGAAAATAACAACTGGCGAATTAGATATAATAACGAAATATACGAACAATACACTGAACCAACACTAGCACAATACACTAGACTGCAGAGATTACGATGGGCAGGGCATGTGGCCCGCATGCATGAGAACAGAATCCCCAGAAAATTACTAAACGCAAGAATGCAAGGAAAAAGACCTGTTGGAAGACCAAAAAAAGAGATGGGAAGACGAGGTAGATGAGGATGCCAAAAATCTCCTAAAAACGTGTTCATGGAAAAGAACAGCAGTAAATAGAGATGTTTGGAGAGGTTTAATTAAGGAGGCCAAGGCCCGGCTTGGGCTGTAGTGCCATTGGATGGATGGATGGATCGCCACATCAATAAGTGTTGTTTGTCTAGTAATTTTATTAACTAGTATGAGATCCGATCTATTATGCGCCACTACTTGGTCTGTAAGCATAGTGCGGTCCCAGTATAGCTTGTAGTTGTCATTTTCAAGCATTCTGTCAGGGATATATTGATAATAAGGAAGATGATCGGTTTGGAGAAGTCCCAGTTTGTCAGATAGTTCTTGGTGGATAATCTTTCCTACTGAGTCATGGCGTTCTTTATAATCAGTACCGACGAATGCCTGGCAGCCACCGGTAAGATGTTGGATGGTTTCTCGGCTTGGCATCCATATCGGCATTTGTCATTTTGGACTTGAGGATCTTTAACAATATATTTCAGGTAATTTTTAGTTGGAATAACGTGATCCTGAATGGCAAGTAGGAAACCCTCAGTCTCGGGAAACATCCTTCTTGATTCCTCAACCAATAGTTCGACGCTGTATTATTAATTAACGTATTATTATTAAGGAATAAAACAAACGACTTAACTCAACAATATATTAAAGCAAGAATTGTAACCAAATTAAAAGATAACTGGGCACCATCAGAGGCAGCAAACCATTTTAACATAAGCAGAAGCCCAATTTTTCTATTAATAAAAAATGGAGGGAACAATAAACTATCGAAAGAAAGCGATGTTCTGGAAGAGCAAAACTATACTAAATTTAGTACAGCTAGTAGTAATACTAAACAGCGTAGTCTTCGTCCATCTGCGTGAAAGAAACTATGAAATTGTCTTTTTCAGAAACTCTTCCCAAACCTGTTGGTATCTGTATACCGTGCCACAGCTCTTCAGCATTTTGAGGTATAAAATTACGCAGATACAACCGTTTTATAATAACCCCCCACACATTCTCGATTGAGTTTAAATCTGGAGTGTAGCTGGGCCATGGTAAGGTTTCGATGTTGTTATTCTGGAGCCACTGGTTTATTATATTTGCAGTGTGAACGGGACAATTATCTTATTGAAGGATAAAATTATTTTCTTGATACAACTGTTCTACACTTAGAAACGTGATGTTTTCTAGAAGAAACAGATAAGTCTGCCTAAAAAATTTGCCATCAATACGCCATGCCATTTCCATTCCTCTAGATGAAATTAATCCCCATACATTAGCGCTAAAATGACCTGCTGCTCGATATCTATTAACATATATAGAGGATTAAATCTATTATTACCTGGTCTGTACACCCCAATTTTGCCCTTTTTAGAAGACTCAAAAATGTTCTCATCTGTAAATATTACTTTGTCCCAAAAATCTTGATTTTGTAGCTGATGGTTTAAAACAAATATGTCTTGATTACTTCTGTTTTGTTGTAAGAACTTGTTTTTTTTTTGCTGCAGTTCGGTACCTAAAACGCTATGCTTTAATTCTACGCCAAGTTTTCTTTCTTTCCGGAAACTGTGACAATTCTTGCTGTTTTCGCAGCTTTAAAAGGATTCTCTTCTAATCTCTCCAAAAGCTTACGATCTTCATAAGCGGTAGATATTTTTGGTCTTCCAGAACCCTGCTTTCTTTCAAAAGTTTCTTGTTCTCTCCATCTTTTATTAATATTAAAAACTGTTGTTCTGCTTACGTTAAAATGGTTCGATACGGCAGATAGTGACCAACCATCTTCTAATTTCGTTACAATTCTTGCTTTTAGTTCTTTGCTAGAATGTGGAGCCTTCTTTTGAAGTTTAACAGAATAAGTTATCTGACAAATTTTAAGATTTGGCAGTGATAGTGACAGTATGTAAATAATTAGTATTTATTCTTCAAAATACACTACTCAATTTCCTACAAAATACACTATAAGAGTCGTATTAGTGTTTTTTTAGAAAACAGCTATACGTCAAAGAATCATTTTATCCTCTTCAGTTTTGACTATCAACTATAAAATAATATGGAGAAAAGAAATACATCCAGTTGATTATATCGTTATTTATTATCGAATGATTATCCATATTGGAATCAGAAGCCCAATAATATCTACATACATAATGGAATTGAACAAGGCTGAGTTTTGTTGCCTTCAGGAAGCTATATCCTAGCTAAGCATTGACTCTAAATTTTTAAAGGTGTTCTTCTATTTTGTTTTTGCTTCATCGACTGATTTCATAGACAACGCTTAAAAAAGTCAGAAAA